AAAACAGAGGGAATTGGCAAATTTTTTAAAATTAATTTTTTTTACATAAATTTTCACTTAAAATACAAAAGTAGTTGTATTAATAAAATGTTGCAGTATAGCTCTTCAAAATTTGCAATTTCTTATAATTTATTATAAAATTTATAACATAAAAATTGATTTTTCAAAGATTTTTACTTAGTATACCAAGTATTGACTATTTTCTCTTTTTCTTTTCAAATTATCCTTACAAAATAACTTTCATTTTCTCATGATCTTTTACCCTTATCCGAACTAGAATTAGCGACATTATTTCTTACCTATTTGAAATTTAAAAGATAATGAAAAGATCATTTAACTATAAATGTTACCGCTTTCTAATCCATTTGTTTTAAAAAAAACTAATATCAAAAATCAAACTTTGTAACTTACAATAGGAGTATTTGATTCTGTGTAATAACTACGTATATCAAAATTAAACTACCAATAAACAATTTTACATCATCGCGTAATGTTTACTTGCAAACTTCGAATTCGATCTTATTAAGTTTTCTAGCATATATTTCTTTCCAAACTCGACTGCCTGTGAATTAATCTATGAAAGTAGTAAGAAATTAGACATTTGTAACATGGTTACAAGGATTGTAACAGAAGTCCGTGCAAGAGACGAGGTCCCACGGGTACCTTTAGCAGAATAGCTGATATTGGTTACCATGACTCCAATGAGCTCTTGATGTTTTTCTTTTATTAGTGAATAGAGTTTGGTTATGTCATTTAAATTTTGCCGTTTTGTTGTTTGTATTATCCTTGTCTTCTGGGTTTATTCTTATCGATCGTAGTTTCACAAATCAAATTATTTAGTTGATGCACAGGTTTGCGAAATTGGCAGATTAAGCGCATATCCTCGTCTTCGTTAGTGAGTGTTTCTTCATTTTTATCAATTTATAACTGTCCAGAGTGTCCCAAACTTGTAGATCATACACGTATTACGTAGAATGGATTTTCTTATTATCAATCGTGTAATTTCATAAATCAAAATTTTGAACAGGCTGTAGCAGGAGTACCGTGCAGGAGTCACTACAAACAATTGATTCTCGTTTCATACTGTTTTCTTTAGAAATTTCAGCTACTCCTTTTTGTTCGTTACTTCAATTTGATTATTGAAAGCCCTTGTTACTGTTGATTTGTTTGATGTAGCTAAAATTATGTGTTTCTAGAAAAAATGATGGTTTAGTAGATCTCAATCGCGCACAAAAATTTGAAGAAAGTAATCGAAACCATTCCTTTCAAATGACCAACCATTATAATAATCTTCACGATAAGAAAGTTCGTAAAAAAAAGAATAAACGTGTCAACGCAAAAATTTATTGATATTTGTAATGGTCGATATAGGTGGTAAGAAAGATGTAATATCAGTAGCAGTGTTGGTCATTGAGTGATGGATTTTTATATTTAATGAGATCGTAGTATGTGATAGCTCTAGTTAAATAGTTGGTATCAATTGGAGTCTTTGTGAGGAATTCTATAGCTTATTTTTAGTTTTGGTTAAAATATTATAGTTTGAGTAAAAAAGTTAAATATTGAAGATCAAATCGTTAATTGTCACAAATGATGATCAAAACAAGGTTAATAACCAAATCAAATCACCAACTAAAATTCAAAATAATCAACCAATCAAATCGTTAATTGTCACACATGATATCAAAACAAGGTTATTAACCAAATCAAATTATTTGAGTGCCGTCCAGGGAAAACCTGTCATCGGGCTTTCAATGTTTGGTTTGTTACTGAGTGTCGTCTATGGAAACTTTATCATCGGGCTTTTAATTATAGTTTGTAATAACTCGCCACAAAATATAATTAGAGGCCTGATGATAAATTTTGCCTTGACGGCACTCATTTATTGTCAGCGAAGTTTTATTTTTATTACAGTAATTCTATTCAATTTTTCTGTTATCATTATTCCTATTAGAGACGCATTATAACCTTTAGTCTATATTAAATTAAACGATACAGTATTATTTACACGCATTTGATCTTAACCATATTAATGTTTACTCGGCAGTTAACTTCTATAATTAACACAAAAGATACAGTATAAACGTTAAATAAAATAACAAAAATTTGCATTTTTAGTAGTGAAATATTAAATCTTTTAAAAAAGTATTTTAAGGTGTGTAAGTTACCTGAACGATTGATTCAAGCAAACCTATTAAACGAATATCCAATCATAAGTTGCTAATAAAAGCTAAGCACGTTTTAGAACTAAATAAAACCATTTTGGGATCGTTAAAACCAAGGTCTTGTTGGATATAAACGAAAATTTTCATACTACAATACCGAAACTATTCTCGTATTCTTTTAAAATCTTTGCCACATGTTGCACATGGTTTGGTGTTTTTACGTAGTCTACACGCTGACATTGTCACTAGCAAGAATTTTGGATCAGAAAACTAGGATCTTGTTGAATTTAAATATAAAATTTTTTAAATGTAATATATTTTCTAAAAAAAGTTATACTATGTTTACTGAGTCTCAAATTTTAATAGTGAATTTAATAAATTAACCAATCAGCGTGAGTTTTGCAATAATCACATCGGAAATAAATCCTCCAATATGAGCCCGACGAAGCAAAACAAGCAAAAAAAAAAAATAAAACAAAGGGGGGAAATGCAAAAAATATCAAAACGCTAGTTTAAACCCACCTTTGTACATTAATAAAAAATATTGGGGTAATTTTACTTATATTAACACCTCTAACCTAACCCAAAGTGCCACTAACCCTAATGTTAATAAAAACGTCATGACAGTAACCTTCCCCGCTTTAAGGTCCCAAAAATTTGGATAAAAAATTTAAATATTTGAAATAAAAAAATCATTTGACTAATCAAATAGATTATTAACTCGGACATTTTATAAACTATATATCGTACTGATAATGCATTTTTATTGGCCAGATCACATATATATCCTAAAATCGGCCAAGTTTTTGATATCATTTGACTAAAATTTTAAACAATTTTGATTTGAGTCTAAAATTTTGGAAATCATGGAATTAGGTGCAACAAATTGGAATTTTCCGTGTCCTTGGCATGAGTCAATTTAATTTCATTAGTTGATCTGCTTGATTGATAATGACGTTATATTTGAATGTGAATTTTGCTTAGTGCAATTACAGAAACTATGTTAATACGTAATATTGTGTGTTCAGAGCCTATAGACGTTTGCGTACAGGCATGATTTCAAAATTGTTTTTTTGATGCGACGGTATGAGCTTAATCAAAAACGTACCAGGGACCCGGGACTTCATATGACGGACTTAATGGAGCATGAGCTATCTCACGAGTAGAGATGGGCAAGGTAATAATGTATGTAATAATTACTTATTTTTTACCCCAATATTTACACATACATATTATTACTAATTATTCCTATGATGAATAATTATTACTTATTACATTTTACAAATATAATCTGGAAAGCAAATTTTAAACTCAATAATTTGCTGATCAGCTCAAGTTTTGCTTATATCACAATTCTTTACTTATTATTAATTATTACGCAAAAAATGATAAGAAATAATCGGAAATAATAAATAATAATAGTTTACTAAACTTGCCCATCTCTACTCACGAGTACGGTGATGATTCAGAGCCACCGACCGTCCGTTGATCTCCGCTGAATGATAACTCTGGCCTTAAAGATGTGGCAGATCCTAAGGTGTCTAAGGACCTTCAGAATAGCGGAGGTAACGTTTGTATCACCATGATTAAATATTAACGTTAATACCCCTTAAATGCAGCACCTCCCTAAATGTACAATAATTGACTGGCCCACGTTGGGCCTTATAGATAAATGCACGTTATTCTCTAAATGCATGCTATTCTCTTGGCCCATATAATAAACTCCCTCCGTTATTGCAGTCATGTGATCGTTGGCCAATCATATTTCATTAAATACAATTATTAAATTCATTTTTTTAATATTTATACTCTACAACTTATATAAAATATAACAATTTTTTACTAAATAAACATCACTTTGTTTCTAATAAAAGTTATAGAGGAAGTTTTTTACGGTTCTAACGATAGTAAAATCGCCAAAATTGGTCTAGTGTTTCTCGAGATATGAATAAACTTTTTTAGGTTTATATATGTCTAGAAGTAAATCGGAATATCTTTGAAATTAAATTAAATACGAAATAAATGTGTAATATATTATAAATAAATCTTAATTAAATGTAATATCTTTGAAATTAAATTAAGGGAACGCCTATTTCCACCATGCTGCCATGATTTCCATATCACTTTCAGCTATATAAATATGACGAGAATATTATCATGGAAATGTTATGCGTTATTACTAAATTTATGTCAATTA